ATCGGGATGGAAAACCAAGTCCAACACATACTAGAGCCAGGATCGAATGAACTTTCAGAAAAGGCCAGTGCCGGATTTACGTATAAGCTAAACAAGCTATAGCTTAGGGCCCCACTCTCTTGGAGGGCCCCCCAGAAAATGCAAAGGGGGGAAAAACTGGATGTGCATTTCCAAAATATAAGATAAAAAACAAAATAAAATAAAACCTGTGTTGTGTAGGCTCCTATGATATAACTAATGGGCACCGCCTGCTAGCCTGCTCCCTAAAATATATAGGGTGCCTACATTCTTCATGGACAGGTTGTATGGCAACATGTGCAAATGGCTTTAGATACCTATTAGGTCATAAATTCTTGAGTTTCAGTGTCTTCAATGCCACAACACCTTTGGCAAAGGCTGTTCTCCACCTAGAGCGCTTGCAGGCCAGTGTTTCCCAGTTGTCGGTGTTTATACTACATTTTTTAAAAATTTGCCTTGAGTGAGTCTTTAAACCTCTTTTGTTGACCACCGGCATTACACTTTCCATTCAGGATACAGTAGTTGCTTTGGAAGATGATAATCAGGCATCCGCACAACATGACCAGTCCAAAGAAGTTGATGTTGAAGAATCATTACTTCAACACTAGTGATCTTTGCTTCTTCTAGTACACTGGTATTAGTTTGCCTGTCTTCCCAAGTGATGTGTAAAAAATTTCGGAGACACCGTTATGACATATATTCAGCACAAAAATCAGTGACAATTTGTTGTTGACAAAGGACAGCTGGACATATAAAGGGCCCCATTACCTTTAGTAGCTTAGGGCCTCATCAAACCTAAATCTGACCCTGGAAAATGCAGAGGTAGAGCAGGCATAAGCAAACTCCAGCCATCCAGATGTTTGGGACTACAATTCCCACCATCCCTAGCTAACAGGATCAGTGGTCAGGAATGATGGAAATTATAGTCCCAAACATCAGGAGGGCAGGAGTTTGCCTATGCCTGAGGTAGAGGAATAAGTTTGAAGTGGGAATAAGGTTCCATAAAAGCTTAGCCTATTGAAAGCATCTATTTCACTTGGGAAGGGAAATCTAGAAGGGAACATATGACTGGGGGATGGGGGTGTGATGGTGAAAGAGAGTGGTTTGTCTAAGGCAGGCTTCCTCAACCTCGGCCCTCCAGATGTTTTGAGGCTACAATTCCCATCATCCCTGACCACTGGTCCTGCTAGCGAGGGATCATGGGAGTTGTAGGTCAAAAACATCTGGAGGGCCAAGGTTGAGGAAGCCTGATCTAAGGGTTCATGGTGCAGAGGAGACTTGAACCCAAGACTTCCTAGCTTGCAGCTTAGCTTCTTGGCAATTAGGTCGCATTGCCTTGACTCGAGATGTATATCACTCTTGCATTTTACATGGTTATCATTACTTTTCTTCTTTAGGTAATCTTTGGGACAAACAAGACGAAGGATAAAATGCATTAGTGCATATTAAAAAAAAATTAATAGGGGGTGTGTGAAAATCAGAATTTAAGCAAGGAGACTAAACATTTACACCAGTGTGGTGTAGTGGTTAAGAGTGGTGGACTCGTAATCTGGGGAACCGGGTTCGCGTCTCCGCTCCTCCACCTGCACCTGCTGGGTGACCTTGGGCCAGTCACACTTCTCTGAAGTCTCTCAGCCCCACTCACCTCACAGAGTGTTTGTTGTGGGGGAGGAAGGGAAAGGAGAATGTTAGCCGCTTTGAGACTCCTTCAGGTAGTGATAAAGCGGGATATCAAATCCAAACTCCTCCCCCTCCTATGTGCTGCCATCCTGATGACCTTCCCCCCATCAAAAACACACACAAAAGACTGCTAGCAGTACCTTCTCTCCTAGGGTAATTATGAGCTTTGAGGGGATTTTCAATCAAGGCAACAGCACAGGGGACAGACCCAAGGCCCTCCCAAGACTGATTGCCCCAACCTGATGGCTGCCATTTATTTATATATGTGATCTCATTTACAGATTCCTTCCCATGAAATATCCCGCAGAGTTTCAGTCATCATACAAAATCATTGCACAAGCTTCAATAAAAACTTCAGCAAAAGAAAAATATTTTAAAACAGTTGAAGTAGTAGATCCATGAAATTCATTCGTGCATTCCAGATATAATCTCGTTTGACCCTTCATCTGTGGAAAAACATCCTCTCTTCACATGCCTAAAAGGGGAAAGAAAATGGAATCGCCCTTTCAACATTTTCATACCCTCCCCCATAAGCAAATTTAGCAGAAGAGTGATTATTTGTAACTTATTGTGATGAAACCACAGCATAATGCAAACCAGGGGGTGGGAAGAGTCACTCAGTGCTAGCAGAAATATTTGGGTACCATGACTACCTTCTGCACTGAAGTTATTTTGCCTCATCTCTTTCTCCTCCCTTCTTAGGGAAAAAAAAAAGTTTTCTTTTTAAGGATGACATTCCAAACTCAGCAAACATCTGAACCGTAAACTTTATGTGAGATTACATTCCCTCCTCCCATAATCCAGCGCCTGTTTAATTTTAACCATTCAATATTCATACAAAATCACTTAGACAATTATACAGAAGAGGCATCACATTAAGAAAGGCTATGACAGAACACTTAGTTAAATGTTCTATTAAAGATTCATGGTAAATTAAATATTTATAAGTATTCAACAGATCCTAGCATAGTTCAAATCCATCTGTTACTATCAACTACACTTTTCCCTTTATCTTAATGTATCCATATGCCACAGTGTAATAACCAAATCATTTGCTTGTAATCCTCAGAAGGGAAGGTCATACTGAAATCTGAGATGCAATGTTTGCCTACAGGGGATAAAGAGATTGGGGAGCTTAGGATGACTCTTATAATAGGATAATGTTCCAACAGTTTGTTGCATACACACTCTTGAGCGAGGCTGTTAAAATTGTTCCTTTGAGTTCCATTGTTCCTTTGAGTTTGGCACACAATAATGTAGATGCAGGTATCGCATGCGACGCCTCGCAATCTGGTCTGTGCCGGAATCGTTAGATACTCATTAATACGGCAGTATGCCAAATTGGATTTATGACTGGCATTCTGTTGAGTCAGCATGAATCCTTTCCCAGCAATCATGTCAATTTGTGTGTGTGTGTGTGTGTGTGTGTGTGTGTGTGTATGATTGGAACGAAGGGAACCTTTGGACTTGCAAGCTCATCTTTTCCTATTCAAGATTGGCAATAGCTCTGAAATATTATGCTGGGCTGTTGTTATTGTATGGCTTATACAGACTTGTAATCGTATTTAAGAAGAAACTGATGTTTTAAATGTTTTGAACAGTTTTAATTCTATTCCACTTGTTCATTATACGGTCAAGGACCTGCTAAAACAATTCTATTATTAATTCTATAGTTTATTGTATATGTGGTTATTGCATATATGTGTGTTTATTAGAGAGAGAATTTGTAAAAGTAAAAGGTAAAGGTAAAGGAATCCTGGACTGTTAAGTCCAGTCAAAGGAGACTATGGGCTTGCAGCGCTCATCTCTCTTTCAGGCCAAGGGAGCCGGCGTTTGTCCACAGACAGCTTTCCAGGTCCTGTGGCCAGCATGACTAAACAGCTTCTGGCACAATGGGACACTGTCACGGAAGCCAGAGCACACGGAAATGCCGTTTGCCTTCCTGCCGCAGTGGTACTGGCATGCTTTAGAACTGCTAGGTTGGCAGGAGGTTTTATATCTTTTATATAGTTTGTATTCTGATTTGGGAGGCATATTTTGTCTGAAAAGTGGTTTTATATTATATCTATGTAGACCACGCTTTTTTCTAAAAAAAATAAAAATGTTTAGGGGTACTTTCATTTTGACTCAAGAAAATCACCATTTTATAGTTCAAATCAGGAAAAATAAATAAAGTAAATTTACAAAGTACAAAGATTCACAAAACGTTTAGGGGTATGTGTAGCCCTGCGTACCCCCAGAAAAAAAGGACTGTATATATAGTTACAGAAACAGTGCTACCTTGGGTTAAGAACTTAATTTGTTCTGGAGGTCCGTTCTTAACCTGAAACTGTTCTTAACCTGAGGTACCACTTTAACTAATGGGGCTTCCTGCTGCCGCCATGCTGCCACCGCACGATTTCTGTTCTCATCCTGAAGCAAAGTTCTTAACCCGAGGTAATATTTCTGGGTTAGTGGAGTCTGTAACCTGAAGCATATGTAACCTGAAGTGTATGTAACCCGAGGTACCACTGTATATAGTCTCTCTCTCTCTCTCACTCTCTCTCTTATTTACTGTAGCACATATGCCAATTAATGGATAGATAAAGCATTTTAATGGGGCTTAAAGCGGTGTACGTGGAGAGGATCTCATGGAGGCAGTCACCAGATCCAGACCTACTTTGCTTCAGCAAGATTGTTACACCGTGCATCTTCAGACTATCCCTTGGGACCTTTTCATCTACTGAAAAGAATGACATGATAAACCAGACCTAAGTGGTAACCAGTAGATTTTTTTCTAATTGTACAAATCCATCTGTAGAAGACAACTCCTTTGTCTAAACATATTCCCTCTGAAGGAAATGCCTCTTCTGAGATTGCTTTACACTGATGTATTTGTAATATTCAATTGATTAACAACACAATCCTATCATTCTCATTGAGTTCAATGGGGTTCACCCCCAGGTAAAACAGGAGACTGCCCTCTACTGAGTCAAACCACTGGTTCATCCAACACTGTGCTGTCTGTAGCAAGGGTAGTCAACATGGTGCCCTCTAGATGCTTTGGCCTCTTAACACTCATCAAACCACCATAGCCTATAGTCAGGGATGATGTAAGTTGTATTCCAAATATCTGGACACTGCATTGGTTACGCTTAGTCTATGATCCTATGCTGACTGGCAGGGGTTCTTCAGACTGTCAAACAGGAGTGTCTCCCAGCCCTGGAGATAGCAGGGATTGAACCTTGATCATAGAAACAGAACTGTAGAGTTGGAAGGGACCTTGAGGGTCATCTAGTCCAACCTCCTGTAATTCAGAAATCTTTTGCCCAATGTGGGGCTCAGACCTATGACCCTAAGATTAAGAGTCTCATGCTCTACCAAATGAGCTATTCCTCCTATATACCATGCTGCCTACCACTGAATGAGCTCTACCCCTTAAAGATTGCAGCCTACGTAAAACATACAATGAACAGTGAAATCCTATGCCTTGCTGCTCAGAGGTAAGCTTCATTGAGTTCAATGCAAACTGCAAATTGCAGGTAAGCATGCAGAGGATAACCCTATATGTTAGGCATAGGCAAAGTTGGCCCTCCAGATGTTTTTGGCCTACAACTCCCATCATCCCTAACTAGCAGGACCAGTGGTCAGGGATGATGGGAATTCTAGTCTCAAACCATCTAGAGGGCCAAGTTTGCCTATGCCTGCTATATGTACTAACCTGGAAGTCGTTCCCATTGAACTCAATGAGCATTACAGATTTGCATTAAATGAGTGACAGTTTATTTACCTCCATTCGTTATGGACTGATGATTGGGTGAATTTTGCATTATGAGCTTTCTAACTGCATTTTGCATCATGTCTTTATATACTCAATGAAGATTGATTTGTAAATGTTTATGTAAATGATGATATATGTGTGCTTTGTGCACTGAGAAATTCATCATATCACGCATTATAATTTACAAGTTTGGTTTTTGAGGGTTTACTCAAACCGTCTTTGTGGCTTCAGTACTCACAATAAATCTTGATTGCAGAGACGTGAACACAACACATATAACTTCATCATCAATTCATTCTCCAATAAGCACAGTGGAAAGTCTTGCACAATTGCAGCAGCAGAACAAAAGTTCCTCTGTATAACACACTACTTAGAATAAAAGGCTACTTGTTCACATCAAAAGTTGGAAATAGGGCCCAAGACATTTAGCTGTCTGAAATGAAGGACAAAATGGCACCCCACAATACCATGCATGGAAGCCAGTTGGACAGACGGCTGAATCTAATTTCAATATTGGCAACAGGATAGGGTTCTCCACCGCACATGAAGACAATTGGCTAGTTATGGAATGGCAAGGCAGGACAGGCACTACACACAGTTATGTCCTCCAACAGAAGGATGCAGATGGCAGAAAGAGGTAGTGAGATCAAACATACCCCTGGCCCCACTACTGTGGTTAAGCTGCTCTTGTTTTTTAGACCTGCACTTGAGACCAACACATTCAGATAGGATGCCAATGTAGACTTTAAACAGACTTCCTCTTCTCAGACATCCATGTTGAACACGAGGACATTAGTGAGCGGAGTGATGAGGCTTACTTCAGGTTCCACCAAGTTCTACCCAGAGAAGAAACCTTGAGATCAATCAACCTAAATTAGCCATGCCCATTACCTTCAATTAATCTACTCTGAGTGTAACAAGCATTGGAGTCGACCCAATGGGATATTTGCCAATGTGAATGAAGCACAGGGGGTCCATTTTATTTAGCTATTTGCATTTTTAAACAATTGGTCCTATTCTTATATTGCTCATGCACCACATACACCTCCACAAATAAGTTTGCTGGATAAGAATTATTGTGGAACACCAGAAGTGGATTTGCATGTCAAAGGACTTGTGAGCTGTGTTCCGGCACTACTTGCGAAGTCCCAGGATGAGCATGAACCCAGTTCCTTGCTTCTTGGGCTGCAAAAACACCATACATTTGAAGGACACACACCCCTCTAAAGAATCCTGGAACTGTAGTTCATCCCTCAGACAGCTACAATTCTTAGCATCCTCAACAACCTACTGTTCACAGGATTCTTTTTCGAGGGGGCTTGCTTTACATATATGGTATGATCTGAAGCATCAGCATACATCTAAACAGAGCCCATATTTTTCACCTAGTTGTGAAAAACAGGGGAGAGCCAACACTATAACCCTGAAATCTTCCACCCCTGTCATAGAATAATAGTTTAGAATAAGGCATTTGTTTGTCTGATAACAAGAATCATAGAATTGTAGAGTTGGATGGGACCCTGAGGGTCACCTAGTTTTTTGGTGCCAGCAGTATGAAGTATTAGTCTCTCCACCCACAGCAGCTAGCTTGATAAGAAAGAATATCTGAGCACATTCATCCTTGTAGGAACCTGCTACAGAGAGAATGCCTGATTACTAGTGTTCTCTATTGTGACAGAAGCTGAGAAAATAATTTCCATTAATCTGCTGTTATTAGATATGATTGCTTCGCAGTCTGCCACACACCGGAGAAGAATGTTATAATGGATCTGAAGTTGCAGCAACATCCATTAATAAATCTGTTTTCAGACCCTGATGTTTTAAGGTTACTAAAAAAAGCCTTAATGGCTACAGATGGCAGAGAGACTGATTCCCAAGTGTAACGTATCTTGAAATACTTAAGCCAACATTCTCTGTGTTAACTTTTCAAAATCACCATAGTATGAATGGAGAAATCAGACTATCTCCTTCCAGTCCATCTCACCTGCATACATGTCAAACCCATTCTGTTCTGTTCTGCATTTATCTGCTTTTTAAATTTTAGTTCTTAAAAAGTCCCCCACTTAGTGGGTTCAGACAACCCACTAAGCCAAACAATTCATGAAAACCTAGACACTGAGTTAAAAGGTTTCATGACGCTTTATTGGAAACACCCATCCTGTTTCCCAGGAGCATTAAAATGAATAGAGAGAGTACAATCAGTCAAGCATGGATAAAAGAATACAGATAAATGTATTGTACAATTCCAGTGGACCCAATGTTCTACTAGTAGAAAAGACCTTTCAGCCTGGCCAAGGCAAGTCAAGGAACCAAAGCCTTCTACTCCTCTTTATACAGTTCTTAAAGTACAGGGGTTCCATGAGAAGTAATGTGCCACATTCCAGGACTCCATTGGTTCTCTGACCTTCTCCCTTTCGTCACATGAGACTTGGGCTTACACCCTTCAAGTCTCCCACATGAACTCCCAATATGTACGTTCCAGTATGTACGTTCCAGCAAATCCCTGGCTCTTTACTTCCCGTCTCTGTGTTTGCATGTGCCATGCAGTACACATCATGCGCAGGCTACCTTCACGCACCCCTGTTCCCTGACATTTCCCTTTGTGCTGCTTGTTCCCCATTTTCTCTCTGCGTTTTCACAAGTCTAACCACAAGCCTCTCGTGGCAAAGTCGGCTTACGTGTTGAGAAAGCGTTCTCCCCGCCCGCCCACCTGTGTGCCTATGTGCTTGCGGTTTCATGCTCTTGAAAGAAATGCATTGATATACATTTTTCCTACAGGTTCCTGATTGCACCAAGGTTTCTAACCACATTCATCCGAAAGCACTTAGAAGCCTCTTCAGAGCATCCCGATCAAAGTGAAAAGGACAGGGAAGCGAACACTATGCATCCCCCACATGCCCAAATATAGCTCCACCGAGGACATAACAATGAATCGCAACTCAACAAAGCCTAGAATAGTGTAGATGGTTTTTAAAAACCCAAGAAAATGGGACTTCTGAAAAACACCATTAATATACGTGGAGGGGTGAGCCTTAGCTCTATAGATAACATGGACTCTGACAGTAAACAAAGAAATTTCCCTGTGTCCCTTTCAGTACTTTAATATTTTGAGGCATTTGTCATAGCTGCATTGGGCATAAATGATAGAATGGGATGTCATTTTCATTTAAAGCTATGTACGTCTTACTCAAGAACAAAGAAGAAAAGGGAGAGAGAGGGGCGGGTGGGGGGAACGAACACAAGGTCATCTCCATGGAGTTCCTCCATCCATTCTCATTACCCAACACAACAACAATACAATATCTTCGTACGAGAGCCTTTTGATTAGAAATACTAAATTAAGATTTACTGTTTCTTGCCAGTGGGAACGGTATACTCAACTAAAGAGAAAGCCATTTAAACCCTTGCTTGAATCCTTTTGGAAGAGCCTATTTCTTCAAAAAGGCTGGAGATTTACAATAATTGCCTCCAAACCCTTTGGCTAAAGCAAACAGCATTAACAGGAAGGTGCAGAAGCATTTAAGTTTAAAGACTGAAATTAAATGCACAAATCTTGTTTAACTTCATATTGGGCTGGCAAATCCGTTTTCACAAACAGTTGAATGTGCCATTTGAAGCCCAATTCTTTGAGAGGAAGATGGGTGGGGGAAAGGAAGAGAGGTGAATTAGAGGCATAAATTTCTAGTACTGTTGATGTATTACTTTTATTAGACAGTTTTACATTCAACATATTTTAGACAAAGAAGTGTAATGCATATTTCATATTCCCTTTGTTTTTGAGAGGGCTCAAGAGGACATTTAAATAAAACTTTATAGGGCAGACCCAGAAACACACTGTGTTGCTAAATCTCTAATCTAGGTCTAAACTGGATTTATGGTGTTCCATCTCAGAGGACAGAGGAGAAGGTGTAAAAGGGACAAGGCAAAGAAGGCTTTTTCTTACAGGAAGAAATCTAGCAATGGTAACAGTTCCTTACACGGAAAACTACATTTTCTGGGGTGAAGGATCTGTGCAGAATAAGCTCATACATTTTTGAAAAACCTATGTCTAAAGAACCTCACATCAAGCAATAAATACGGATGAATGCAGCAAATTGCAAACAGCAGCTTTGGATCTATCGCTGCATTCAGAAGCATTGTAAGAATATTGCTGAAACACCAGGGAATGTGCTAAGACAGGGATGGGGGAACATTTGGTCCCTCAGGTGTTGCTGAACTACCCAGCATGCATGGTCAAGGGGCCAGGGATATTGGGAGTTATAGATCAGCAACATCTGGGGGGAGACAAAAGTTCCTGCTCCTGTGATAGCAGCAGAACTTGGAAAGCTCATTTTCAAAAGGAACAAGTGCTGGGTCAAAGAGCTCAACATGTCCCAAATGGAACTAATTCCTGTCAATGTTTGTCCCTTTACAAGAAAGTACAGTGGTACCTCGGGTTACAAACACTTCGGGTTACAGACTCCGCTAACCCAGAAGTAGTACCTCCGGTTAAGAACTTTACCTCAGGATGAGAACAGAAGTTCATAACCAGAGGTACCACTGTAGTTTTGGTCACATTCAGTTCACAGTTCAAGATCATCTGTATGATCCTCTGGATTTTGTTTTCCAGCATTCATAATG